AGGCTACGTCTAGACTACAGGCTTTTGTCGACAGATACTGTCGACAAAGCTTCTGTCGACAGAGCGCGTCTAGACTACATCCAGTTCTGTCGACAAAGCAAGCCACTTTGTCGACACGAGAATGTAAACGCCAAGGACAGTGTAGATGCGAACTCTGTTGACAAAAGGTGTTATTCCTCATAGAACAAGGTTTACCACTGTCGACAAAACTGCTGAGTTCTGTCGACGTTATGTCAACAGAACTCAGCGGTAGTGTAGACGCAGGTATAGTTTTGTTGACAAAAGTCCACTTTTGTTGACAAAACCCTGTAGTCTAGACACACCCCTAGGCTCCTCTGTCTCTTTTCCCTCAACTATAGTGCTTGTCAGCTTGGATTAAATCTGAACAACCCTGAATTTTTCAAGACATCCCCTGTGCAAACTTCTACAGCAAGGATTAATCAGAGATGATAATCACTAGCCTAAGTGACAATACTTATATAACAACACATAATAACCCTTCAAAGAGCCAGTGTCAGGAACAGCTAGAATGACACGAAGAAGGAAAAGTGATCAGGTGAAGTAGGATTCCCCTGCATGTCACAGTCATGGGAAGCTTCTACCCCCAGATTCTCGTCTGCTTCCTTCTCTGGAACATGCCATCGTGCCCCCACGGGAGAAGCACTGCCGGGAGGCCTACAGTGAACAGTCAGCCGGACAGGAGGTGCCTGTCAAGATGGTTAGGATGTGCCACCTTTACCACGTCACAAACATTACAGCAGCCTCTGCATTGCACACAGTGATCTGTGTGCAAGACCGAGTGTCCAGGAGGTGGGATTGTCCACGTGCCAAACATCTACTGTGCAAATCTTGCACACATGCCATTGCCTCGTGCAAATCCTCCTGCTACCTCGTGCAAGTGATGGTGCGTGGGAAAATGAGAGGTGAGAGTGAAGCTGCTGGGACACTGCAGCTCTAGGCTTGGTTATCTAGACACCTGGGTGTCCCCCCACCAGACTCCTCCAACTAAAGAACAAGGCCGGAAGCTAGGTGAAACAAACCCTTTGAAAACTGAACCGAGATTTACTGAAGGAAAACGTTGCTGCTCCCTATGAGCCTGGCAAGTCTGACACTCATTCAGATCTACGCTCTCGTGACGGCGCGAAAACGGGGAAAAAAATCCTGGGTGACGGTTACTGGCAGCTTCATAAAGAAAACGATGAACCACTAGCACAGCCCAAGCAGGGGAGCCAACAGCCAGGCTGGGCCCCTGGGCAAGGTGGGGTGTGTGGCGCCACACTGCTGGAAGGGGCGGGGCTTCAGGTGGAAGGGGCGGGGCTTAGGCAGAAGGGGCGGGGCTGAGGGCAGCCAGCCCGCAGTGGTCTCGCTCCAGGCTGCCTGGAGCACTGCTTGGTGCTCTGATGGCAAATTATTCTCTGGATGCAGGGGGGCACTGCTGTCACTGGAGCTCCATGCCCCTTTGAATCGCCAGGCTCACAGTATGTCTACACTGTAAATAAAGATCCACCGCAGCAAATCTCAGGACCAAGGTCAACTGACCTGGGCCCAGGCTACAGGGCTAAAACCAGCAGAGTAGACATTCGGGCTAAGGTTGGAGCCATGACCCTTAAACCCAATGAGGGGGATGCTCAGAATCCTAGGGCTGGAAGAGACCTCAGAAGGTCATCAAGTCCAGCCCCCCCGCCCAAAGCAGGACCAACCCCAACTCAATCAGCCCAGCCAGGGCTTTGTCAAGCTGAGACTTAAAAACTTCTAGGGATGGAGATTCACCCCCCCCCCCCCCCAGGGAACCCATCCCAGTGCTTCCCCACTCTCCTCGGGAAATGGTTTTTCCAAATATCCAACCTAGACTTCCCCCATTGTAATTGCTTCTCATAGCCTGGCCCCAGCCTGAGCCATAGTGTCTACACTGCTCTTTGCTGCCCCATAGCGTAAACCCGAGTCAGCTGATCCAGACTTGCTGCAATGGATCTTCTGGTTTTTGCCGTGTCGATGTACTCTCAGACACTGAAAGGAGGGTGGGAAGGACATATCACTGCTCTTCTTTCTCTCCGGGTATTAAAGTCATTGGTTTATTTTCAAAACAGGTCTCCTTCCCGGTTCCACCCCCACCATTTAAGTCCTTGCTCACCATCCAGGTCTATATAACGAACCTCTCTGCCTCTCCGTGGCTCACAGTAGTTTCCCCGATTCCACCCAAATATTTCCAACACAATGGGAGAAATCTCTGGGATAATAGTCCAAAGGAGCCGAGCTACATAGGTCTGACCCAGGGCCCAGTGAAATCAATATACAGGCTCTCCCTGACTTCAGACCAAGCCTTATATCGTAATAAGTTCTGCTCACCAGGTCTATAAAATCATGAGTGGTGTGGAGAGGGCCGATAAAGAAAAGTTACTTATTAGTTCCCTAAATAGAAGAACTAGAGGTCACCAAATGAAATTAATGGGTAGCAGGTTTAAAACGAATAAAAGAAAGTTCTTCTTCACACAGCGTGTAGTCAACCTGTGGAACTCCTTGCCAGAGGAGGCTGTGAAGGCTAGGACTATAATAGAGTTTAAAGAGAAGCTAGAAAATTTCATGGAGGTTAGGTCCATAAAAGGCTATTAGCCAGGGGATATAATGGTGTCCTTGGCCTCTGTTTGTCAGAGGCTGGAGAGAGATGGCAGGAGACAAATCACTTGATCATTGTCTTCAGTCCACCCTCTCTGGGGCACCTGGTGCTGGCCACTGTCAGCAGACAGGATACTGGGCTAGAAGGACCTTTGGTCTGACCCAGTACGGCCGTTCTTATGTTCTTATGTTCTTATGTTCACCCATCATACATTTGTGTGCGAAATATGGATTTCATGCACCACCTCGATTCAACAAGGCACTTCAGTACATGTCTGACATAAAGCACGTGAGCCCTCCCATCCACATGGATCCAAGCGCCTCTGTAAGTTCCCTGAATCAGGTCCCCTGGGTCTGATTCCGGAAAGCACAGGGCATCTGGAATTCCCACTGTGACTGAAATTGAAGGCATGGAGCAAGCATGCACCCACCGTGGACACTACTGGGCTACGTCTAGACTACCTCCCTTTTTCGTAAAAGGGATGTAAATTAGACGTATCGCAATTGCTAATGAAGTGGGGATTTAAATCTCCCCCGCTTCATTAGCATAAAAATGGCTGCCGCTTTTTTTCCCGCACGGAGCTTTGTCGGAAAAAAGCGCCAGTCTAGATGCTGATCTTGCAGAAAATAAAGCCTTTTCCGAAAGATCCCTTATTTCATAGAGGGATAAGGGATCTTTCAGAAAAGGCTTTATTTTCTACAAGATCAGCGTCTAGACTGGCACTTTTTTCTGACAAAGCTCGGTGCGGAAAAAAAGCGACAGCCATTTTTATGCTAATGAAGCGGGGGAGATTTAAATCCCCGCTTCATTAGCAATTGCGATACGTCTAATTTACATCCCTTTTACGAAAAAGGGAGGTAGTCTAGACGTAGCCCAGTAGTGTCCACGGTGGGTTATCCCTGGTGTAAATCTTTGTTTTTGCAGCAGGAAAAGAAACAAAAGCCTTCAGTTCACAGCCGGGGAAGGTAAGAAGCCAGACACAGCACTTAGGCTTGGCCTACACTAGGGGGCAAAGCCGAACTAAGGTACACAAATCCAGCTATGTGAGTGGCATAGCGAGAGTCAATATATTTTAGTTCGACTTACTGCAGCATCCCCACTGTGGCAGGTTGATGGGTAGGGTTACCAGGTGGCTTCAGAAATAATACTAGACACGCTTGATCTCAGATGGGGGAGGAGAGGGCAGGACAGGAAGGGAT